CAACAAATTAAAAATTCCAATTATGATGTTTTGTTGGCGCGAGTTCAAAATAATTATTGGTTACTCAATTAAAAAGTCTTTTTCTGATACATTCGACATTCCACATTCTGACTACAGAATTAAATTCTCGAAACGCATTATGCTTAAGTTGTTTTAATTCGGCATATAACGAGAATTATTAATTTAATATGATTATAGTAAGGTTTATTTATTATTCTTAAATTAGTGAACAAATAGTAATCTTTTTTGTCAGGTTAAAGCTGTCATAGAACATATAATATTACAATTGTATATCGATATACTTTAATTAAATAAATAATTTAGTTAAAGAATTTAGTTATTAAATAATTTGAATAAATAATTTAGTTAAATAATTTGAATAAATAATTTAGTTAAATAATTTAAATAAATAATTTAGTTAAATAATTTAAATAAATAATTTAGTTAAATAATTTGAAGTTAAATAATTTGAATAAATAAATTTAGTTAAATAATTGAATAAATAATTTAGTCAAGTAATTTGTTGAATAAACCTTTTAGTAAATAATTTAGAATGATTGCATACATATTGATATGGTTTATCGTGGCTTAGTATTGATTGTATTGATTTCCAACTATTTATTATCAAAGATCTTGCGGGCAGCATACATTAGCGCGCGGTGTTGACCACGCATGCATAAAATACTAACCGCAAAAATAACGCTTGGATCTAAATTCAAGATCTGTCCCGAAAATACCACATATTTAGTTAGTTATTAAAATCTTCGTCCAAGTAACATTCTAAAACGAGAGTTCCATCGCACACTATATTCTATTATAAATGCGTACCTATATAATTTAATATAACAATTTTTTACTTATTTTAGACATTTGAATTTATATAAAGACAACTTGTTTTTATTGTATCACAGTAGTACGGTGTGGGTCAATTGCGAGATACAATCCTTTTGTACAACACCAAGCGTTTAAGTAATAAATGTTTCAATTCCAACATCGTTACTCATCACCATTCTATATTTTCTTTTACTATTTATATAGTGTGTTTGATATCATTTTTAATGAGTTCTCTCTTCTTTTTCTGCACAACAAACGAACTCAAATTTTAATTGCTTTATAAATGCTTCTATCTGACCATTTTTTCAAATACAATTTATAATTATTCTTTTAAAAAGCTTTTATTTTTTTTTTTTTTTTTGAGTTCTATCACTTTTTGAAAATCTTGATTAACGGATCATTCAAGACTATTATTAATCGGCAAAAGAAAGCAACCTCTTTGTTATAATATATATGATAGTTAAAAGTATATAATGATCTTATACCTTATTAGGTGACGTCAAATATATATTATATTATATGCCCAAGTCATTAGACTGAAAAACGCAGAAACAGAAAAGCCAAAAAAAAAAAAAGAAAAAAAAAGAAAGAAAACAAAAACGTGAATAATCATTTCTCTTCGGCAATATTTTTTTTAACCTCATGCATTACATAAATTTTACCATCATTCAGATATTCTAAATTAGGCGCATACATTCATACATTCATACATTTATTTTAGTAAAGTCTTTTCTGTTTCCTTTAGAAAAAAACAATTTTTTCTGTTCATATAGACAAAAACCTTCTGGATCCTCCTGTTAGTCGAATCTTAATTAAAAAACAAAAAAAAAAAAAAAAGTCTTTCACTTACAATGAGTTTGTTCATATTGGACGACATGATTGTTGACGAATCTGGTGATAACCATAAACGTGTAAAGATTACCACTGCCTGTGATACTTGTAGAAGAAGGAAAGTTAAATGTGATGGCGCTTCCCCATGTGCCAATTGTCAGCGAGGAGGTTTGGTTTTCATTTTCATTAAATTTGCAACGTGTCTCGTTACTCTGTCATCAAATGCCGTGAAGATCGAAATCTTTTGATTGGAGAATTCTATTGTAATCGGTATAATTGGACATGTATTGAACCAATGAGACCAATGCTAATTGCATCAATAAAAACTTTTTAATTGAGTAACCAATAATTATTTTGAACTCGCGCCAACAAAACATCATAATTGGAATTTTTAATTTGTTG